CCACAACCGTTCTGTGTCCCATAGTGGGCGCCGGTTTTCACCATTCCCAAGTGTAATCGCTAGCCTTGTTTTTCTTCCATTTATAGTTCACTGTGTGAGTGTGGGGTGCTGCATTCCCGTTTTTTTGTGGGTAGTGTGCTTTTATTTTCCTATTGGTAGAGGTTTTGGAAGCGAAGGATGAGGATTAAAGAGTGGGAGAGGGAGTACGAGGAGAACCCGTGGTGGAGGGAGCATGAGGAGGGGGGGTTGGCGTTTAGGCCGGTCGCGGGGAATGCGGTGTTCTGGGTGAATTTGCATGCGAATGACACGGGGGATATGCGGTTGGTTGGGGGGAGACATACGTGAAGATCGAGTCTTTGAGCGGGCGTCGCTCCTTTTTCGTCTTCCAGCTCCCTCCACGTGCGGGCGGCGGCCAGCGCAGCCTGGGCGTACACATGGCCGCCAAACGCAGCCTTGTGGAAGGTCGGCGAATCCTCCATGTCGAAATCGGATCCGGGGAGGTAGGCGGCTCTCGTCCCCATGAACCGCCGGGCCTCGCCGACTGACGGGAGCTTGACCAGCTCTAACGCCTCCTGCAGGGGCAGAGGTGGCCCCATGTCTGAGGGCATTGCGATTGTGGCTATTTGCACGTGGCAATGACGTGCCTTTCTACGTTCACGGAGACTTGCGTGAATTGAAGTGGCCTTCCCGACGAGTCCTCCCGGTGAGCGCCGTACTCCGCGCCAAGTAGCCCCTGAGTTTTGGCTGACAGCCTGGAATCCCACGGGTTACGCGTGGCAAAGGATTGAGTCTTAGTAATGACCGACCGACCGAGGTGAGAGAATGGAAACGTCGAAACAGGGAGCAAGTGGTGTCTACCGTGTACACAGTATATCGACCCCGGATCACTTCACCCGGCCGGGAGTCAACAACGATTGTTGTTGTTGAGGCTGGTTGAGAGCCATCAGCCCGGACGGGGATCCACTTCGGTATTTCCGGCTATGGACGGCGCCCGGCTCCATCCTGTGCCGAGGCATCCACGTGATGGACTCCCGACGGTCCCAGGTACGACGTCGTGCAAAACCAACGATTTGTTGAACTGGCCGTGGAAGCAGCCGTGATTTTTCCTTAAATTCCGAGAACTCGCACTTGCACACCTTTCTTCGCTTGGCTTTGGATGCCGCCGATTCAGGGGCCATATCCGGCAGGTCAAGACGGCGATCAGAGTCTCCTCGAGTCCTGCATGATGTTGGACATCCGCGATATCGGAGATGTGATTTTCTCTCTGCAGGACGAAACAACTTTTTTTTTCTTCCTGGGCTTTCGTCGCTATTTTAAGTCCAATGAGCTGGTCAATGTTGGCGGAGGTTGCTTTTTTGTTTGAGCCAAGCCTCCCTTGGCTCGTGTGGTGGAGCAGAAACCCCCACACTCTTAGCCCCACTCATCTAAAATCCTCAACAGTGGGGGTCAGTTTCCCCAGACGCGGCCCCCACGGCCCCAGTTGGAACCCCAGCCGTCATCCGAAAAGGAGGGTTGGACAACTGCAACATGAGAATTTAACCTAGTCGTGAGTGGTGGAAAATGTGAGCCTCAACCAGACTCTCGACAATTTACTTGATTGGAGAAACACGGAACGCCGCTCTCTTTGATGGAACGGTTTCACGAGCTTTTGGGTCCGCCCGTTACTTTGCTGCAACGACAAGCGGGGTTCTGTACTGGCTGCAACCCGCTCGCATGGATCCAAGCCGTGTCATCCCTGGTTTTCCGGTTACCGGCACTCTCGGGATGCTGTTGCTTGGGAGCAACCCGGGGCGGTGCTATTCTCGTCATGGAAGACAACGAGAAGCTTCAGGTTCACTGCAAAGAAACGCATGAATCACGGATTATTCTCCGATGCTTCGGAGCTTTCCATGCTGCTGCACAAAATGTTTTGATGGAGTTAAATCAATGGCCGAGACGTGAAACAGCCCATCTTAAACTTGCTTAATTGGCACTTTTTCCTGAGTATTGGCTCTACGTGGTTTGATAAACCTCACGTATTGGCAGAAAAGAAACTATGGACGGGGTCTAGAAGGTGTGCTAATTCAAAAGTGAAACATGAAGGATGTCAATTGCATACAGGCATGCCAACGATCATGATGTGCCGCACCACTGGGGGGGATATTGAAGTGTTGTCATTTCTCTTTACGAATACAACAAGAACATTGGATGAGAGACATAACTCCAATCCGATGGAGCGGCCCGAATAGAGACGCCCATCCCCATTCTATTTCATCGTTTTCGGCTACTTATTGACAACCCGGGGAACTGGATCCCGAAGCCAGCCATCGTCCTCGCAGTATCTCATAACCATACGCCGCCCAGTTAACTAAGCGTGACGTGAATGGTCACAATTTAACCACTCACCGCTGGCATGCGTTCAAGTAGCCACTCAGCCTTCCATTAAGTTTGGAGTGTCGTTCCTCGATGACGATAGAACGACGCCACAACCACCAAACCACTCGCGCTCTGAAACATTGAGTTCAAATTGCTGCCCGACGGCGTTCGGGTGCAGCAATTGCCGCGAGAACGGTTGGCGAGCCAGGCCCCTTCGTTCTGCGGTTGTGCCGTTTGGGAAGTGGTCTGACGTACCAAGGACGAGGGTGTTGCGTTTTCGGGGGGTCACGCGGCGCACGACTATCAAATAGGCGGCGCCTGGTGAATGGCTGATCTTAGCGAGTGTGCGACCACCGGCCCTCGAATCGGCACGTTTTGAAGAAGGGAATTGGCCCTGCAACCCGAGTCTATTTTATCCAAGTTGGGCTTGACCGGTCTCGGCCATCTTCATCCTTCTTGCAGCCACAAGAGCCGTCGCAACCCGCAGTCCTGAACCGGCAGGCAAGAGCGATCTGAGAACCGCGAATGAAGTCAATCAACAACAGCCTTCGCTTCGCTGAGGACAACACAGCATCGCATGGCGGGGACCTGTGGTCCGAGCTCTCATTTCAGCTCCGCGGAGGCCCTGCTGCTGCCTGTGGAGTCTAGCTGTGTGGTCCCTGTTGTGGTCCCGCTGGTCTTTCCCCGCAAAGCTCGAGCCGAGCAGATCTGGGGACAATTCCTCAGGGGGCGGAAAGCTCCGCGCAACATTTCAACATCCAGCCGAACCCAACATTCTGGTTCGGCCGGGAATAACGTGATCCACGTGTCGCTGGACGGCGTCGGCAGGGGTGGTAAGGGCTCACCGGTTACCGCCTGCCGTCAGCCATCACACGAGTTTGCTGAGAAGCTTTAAGAACCATGTTCTCAAGGGCGAAGAGCTGAAAAGGGGAAGTTCCTCGTGGGAAAGAACCAGAGGCGAATTTGTGACAATTTGGGCGTCGTGCATGGACCAAGCAGTTCCAGGTTTAGGGCGGTTTGCGGGTCGGAGCCAGGGCCCTTGGGGGACAGGGATCTAGGCTGTTCGTGCCAGAAGCGCACCACTGCACACGAGGCTTTTTCCTCGAGCAGAAAAGCAAAGAACTGGCCCTGGGATTACGCCAAGCCAATTCAACAAGTGGTTGCTTCCCTTTCGGTGACCTTTTTGGCCAACTGTTGCCGCTCATTTGTTAATGATTCTTTGCAATTTGCTGTTTTTATGGCCATGAAACAGTGTATTGTGTGACATTGGGTTTCCGTCCCTCCCTCCCACAAGCACTCGTTCCAAGCCCGTCATCGAAGGTGTACAAAGTACCATTGTTTCTGCCGAGTTCGAGTGGACTGCAAGTCTTCTGACGATCTTCAGTGAGGCTCTCAATCTGCTCTGCCGGCTTGGCACATTCTCTCCGCATTTCGGCCCCTTCCACTTTTCATCATCCGACGTCCGCCGCTCAGTGCCGTTTCCCCGCTACTTTGTCGAGCTTGTCCAGTCCCGAGCCCAGATTTCCCAGTCTGTCACTGTCGTCGTCCAACTGGACGAAACCCAACTGCGAATGCTTGCCCCGGCGTCCAGCTCTTCCGACGCCACCAACCCGCTCAACCAGTCAGCACAGCTTTCCTTCGCCTTCGACCCCAGAAAGTTCCCACCTCCATCCCCAGAATTTCCTTTCTTGGGACCAGCTGCCATGCAACCCTGCCTCTGACTGGGCACCCTTGGACGTCACCCACACTAGCGCCCTGCGAGTGGTCTTTGGAGGAGCATTCTCCCCCAGGTTCCGCCCCTCAAACCAGATCGTCGACTTCTCCACTTGACACCGGCCGGCTGGTTCCCCATCTGGTCCCCCCCATTTCCAATAAATACATGTTGGGCTGAGAGCACGCGCTGGTTTCCATCCCACTCTGCTTGCCTCTTTCCTCCACGCGCCCCTTCCCGACTGCCTGGAACCCCCGCGTCCTTCGCCGATCGAGACGTGGGTAACAAAGCCTCCTCTACTGTCAGCTTCAATAATTCTTTCGCGGCTTCCATTGAGGTGACGGACGGTCCGCTCACCTCGCCCTAGTCTTCCGGCTGGAGCAACGCCCCCAATCAACTTCGGCATGCTTCATTCACCCCTACCTTCCCGTGTCCTAAGGAATCTTTCCGCTTTGGACTTTTCACCCCCCCCGCCCGGTTCTTGGCCTCCAGAACCGCTGAATATGCGCTAAGCCGACACCGAGGATCACCCCTAGTATCAGGAGGATTTGGACTGGGTTTTTGTTTGGTTAGAAGGCGAGGAGAAGACTGACATGGGTGTCCAACTCGAACACCTCGGCCAGAGTCTCGAGCAGTACGGACCATGGCACTTTGGGGATGCCCAGTTCGAGGACGGCCACCGTGCCGAGCTCGAAGCGGCGCTCTTGCAGACGGCTACCATCTCCGGCTTGGGTGACAGACTGCTGGAGATCTCAAAGGGGAGCAGATCGGGAAGCCAAAGCTCGGCTCGTCTCGAGCTGAAGCTCAAGGTGAAGCCCACACCTCCGGGCTCGCCGGCGCGGACCGCATCCGGGGCATCTACCCCGGTCACTCCTACTAGGAGAGATGTGTCCCTCTTCCATCGGCGCTGGACCCATCCTTAAACCTTCCCCCAACTCGCCGCCTCAAAAGCGCCGGTTGTGACCTTTCCCCTCGCAGTGCCGTCTTCGCACTCCGGGCCTTGCCTCAAACGTCGCCGGCCGGATACGGATTATCGATGGCCCTGGAACGTCGTCAACGACATACAAGAAGCGGCGGCTCCTCCGCCATCTCATCACCTCGCGCCTCTCGCAGCCGTTCTCTCTCCCCGCCACCCATATCCTCAACCGGGAGGCGGTCACTTCCGGCGACAAACGCTTCCTCAAACTCACGGCCATCATGTCGGCGCGGCGTCTCAACAGCGCCGTGGTCGCTTCGCCTCAGGCCCCGTGCCCTCCGCAGCAGCCCAACCCGTCGACCTGGCTCCATCGCGCAGCCTTGCTCAACAGCCTCCGCAGTCGGGTGTACGCCACAGCCGCCGAGCGCGCCAACATGCCCGTCCCGGACCTGGCCGCCAAAACCGCCGTTTTCCAGCAGAGCCACGGCTCGACAACGGCATTCGTCGGCGGCCGCTACCTCATCACCACACCCAATCCCAATAACCACCCCACCCACGCACCGCCCCACCGGCGACCACCCCTTCCCGGATCCCCACAGCCACACTCGAGCTTCCGCCCGTCGGGTCCCGGCAACCACCACAGCCACGGCAACGGCCCGATCCACATCCACCAACACCCCACCCACGCGGGTCTCACCACCGGCCACCACCACCACCACCACCACCACCACGCACCCAAAACCTGCCTGCGCATCCCCTCCCCCACGCTCCGCCCTCTCCGCTCGCCCGAGCTTCGCGTAACCCGGCCGCTGATTCCGCTCGAAGACATTGAGCCGCTGTACGACGAGTCCTCGGACGACGGCATGGCTTTTCCCACGTCGGAGCTCGAGAGTCGGTATGTGTACGATGATGAGGATGACGATTGGGGATGGCCGAGGGGGGTGGGGGGGGTGTATGCGGATTTTAGTGTTTATTTTTTGGTGGGGGGTGGGGGGTGGTAACGGGGAAAGATGGGGAGGCGGGTGGTGATTGGGGATGAGGAGGGGGATGGGCTGGGGAGGGGATTGCTTTGAGGATTATATGGATGATTTGGATGGGATTCCGTGGGGGGGGTGGGGGTTGAAGCCGGCCGTTGTTATTGTTGCCTGCTTACTCGACCTTGGTGGAAGTTTGAAGTTGGCGAAGGGGGTTGCCATTGGGCTTGGTGGGGAGGGGAGGGGATTCGCTTTGCCGGTTCGACCGACTGTTGACTTGCTCGGGCGTGGTTATGTATGGCGGAGGATAATGGTGGGGGGAGGTTTTGGCGGGAAGGATAATATCGCTGGGAGGGTATTTGTGGAACCATGTTTTGCGATGGTAAGTATCTACTGGTTCGTCGTGTCTTGTCTTGGTGGGCTGGAGTTTGACGGCATCGGGACTGCGACTGGGAGGGAGGACATCTACTTGTATCAGCGGCATCACGGCGGATGGCGGCAATCTGATTTTATGCGTGTTTGGCTGTTTTGGATTTTGCATGGGGAGCATGGTGTATTTCTTTGTTGAGTCGTCCTTGGGTGTTGCAGTTGAGAGTGGAGGGTATTGGGTATTGCGAGAAAAAAGATGGCTTTGAGAGAAAGACAGACAGAAGGAGAGCAGACAGGCAGAACATACACGGTCGAAAAATAAAAATAACTATCCATGTCTGTGTGTTGTTGTGATGTCCGAGCTGTGTAACACAGACCTCGATTGCCTCGTGTCTGCCCTGTTCAGAGTCAGCTTGGGTTCAGGGGTTGAGGTCACGTCACTCTGCATGGCATAGGATCCCTGGCGGGGTTTGCAGGCACATACAGACCCCACAACCCCACGCGACCCCTCGAGATGAGAGATAAGATGCGATTGCCCTGTGTTTTATTTTAACTTTAGCTTATCCTCTTTCCTCCACACAACACAGTCTTTGAACAGTTACTGTTTGATATTGCGCCTTTCCGCCTCCGACCTCCCAACCAACCCGACGACGGAACCCACAAAACCCAACCCAAACCAACAGCACAACTTCCACTCAACACAACACAACACGACTCAATCAACCCTCACCATGACCTCCGCATCCACCACCACTACCACTACCACCACCACCAACCCCCCTCCAACCACCACAACCACCACCACCCCCCCAACCCAACCCTCCCCATCCACCACCCCCCTCAACCCCACCGCAACCCCCTTCCTCCCCGCCATCACCTCCCTGCCCACCCTCTCCCCCACCGCCCTAACCGCCACCCTCGACCTGCTGTTCGAGCCCTCCGCCGACCTGCACGCGCTGGCGCTGCCCACCATGCGCACGCTATCGTTCGCCTCCTACCCGGACCTGATCGCCACGCTGAAGGCGCAGCTGCTGGAGGTGGCGGGGCAGGTGGTCGGGGATGAGGTGGGGAGGGGGGTGTTGTATGGCGTGTTGGGGAGTCATCCCCCGGTTGGGGGAGGGGAATTTGCCGAAGGGGAAGGGGGGGTTGAGTGTGTTGAGTGAGGGGGGAGCAGGGGCATTTTGGTTGGGGGGTGGGGGGGGAGGGGGAGGAGGAGTTGGGGAGGTTGAATCGGGAGTATGAGGGAAGGTTTCCGGGGTTGCGGTATGTGCTGTGGGTGAATGGGCGGCCGAGGGGGGAGGTGTTGAGGGATATGAGGGAGCGGATTGAGAGGGGGGATGTGAGGGCCCGAAGGAGAGGGCCGATTATTGAGGTGAGTTCGTTTTGGAGGGGAGGGAGGGGGTATTTATCTCCCTACACCCAGTCCCTGCCCCACAATCACGAGTGGAAAACTAACGACTGTTCAATGCCTAGGCCATGTGTGATATCGCCACCGATCGCGCGCGCAAATTGCTGCAAAAGTCAGCCGAGGAGGCGGTGGAGAATACCAAGAGCTGAGCGGTGCTGGCTGTAGACTCAAGGGGCCGTCTTGGGCCGCGGAGAAGCTGGGTTGGTGGAGAGACATGATCTCATCTGGTGACACCACCTTCAGCCCTGTACCTGTGTAATCCCTGATCGGATGATCCTCAGCCTCACCGCATTCCAATCCATGTTTCGGCAGTGGACCATTGGGACCCTTCTTGTTGAGTTCCGTTTATTAAGCGTTGTTTCATGTCAACTTAACAAACGCTCAACTCGGTTATAATACCATACTCCAAACAACCTTTAACCCAAATCTGCATAGGCTATCGCTACTAGAATGGCCGGCTTGCGTTGCACTTGAGTAGATATATCCAAAGCATCTTTTGGTCCGCTCGAGACTGTTAGTGCTGCGACCCCAACCGTAGACGGATGGCACCCTCTCCTTCCCTCACCGTCTGAGCAAGCGTTCCCCCACAGCTCCTTCGCGACCCAACCCCTAAAAGGCAGATCGACTCCGCGCGTCCTGTGGCCCTCTCGTTAGCGACGCATTTGATTCAAAACAGAACCAGATAAAGGCACAGCCGAACGTAACGCACCGAGATCTTCCTCTCCACCTCCCTCACCGAGCGATCCAGCTCCGCCGCGATCCTCTGCTTCTTGTCCCCCGGTAGCAGCTGATACCGCTCACAGAGATCTCCATCCACAACGCCCTTCGCCGGCTCATAGTACCCCCGATACGCGAGATGGTCGCGGCCGATCAGCGACGGTTCCTCGCCGCGCATGTGCTGCTCTAGCGCCAGGAAAAAGTCGGCATCCTCGCGCGTCACAAACGGCACGAACACGCCAACGGTGCCCTGGAACCCGCTCCATACGAGAACCTCCTGCCCGCCCACGACGAGGTGGGTTTTGGTGATGCCCGTCGGGATGTCCTGGGTGTGAAAGTGCGCCGTGAGCTGGAGCCGGTGCGGGGCGCCGTGGAGGTGCTCGCGGGCGTGGAGGAGACGGTGAGCCCCTGGCTCGTCGGCTTCGAGGCTGGCTTGCTGGGGCGTCCGTACGATCCAGAAGTTGCCGAACTTGTCGCCGCCCGCTACCGAGTCGTAGTCGACCATGGTCGTGCACGTTGTCCACCGCGCGATTGTGTCGTCGACAAACGGGATGAGTTGGTTGGACTCGGTCCTGTATGCAACCATGGCAACACCGTGTTGTACGTCGCCAACGACAATGCGGTTGCCCTGTGTCTGTAGCGAAACAATCAGACCCGGCACCACGTCGTTGGCTTGGGTCTTTCGAAGCATTTGCTTTAGGCCCAGATCGTATACCACCAGAGTTTTGCCAATTCCTGCGACCAGCCGACCTCGAAAGGCTTCTAGGGCTGTTGGCGGTTCTGTCGTCCCTGTTTTGTGAATGAGCTCGAGGTCCCGTCCGTCGTCATGAAAACGGTAGACATAACTGTAACCCCCGGACAACTGTCGCGGATTCAAAACCATGTCCCTCCCCGTACTAACAACCAAAAAGGACTCGTCGTCTTGGCTCGTAAACGATGCTATTGCCAGGCTTGCAGCTGCTTCGTTCTCTTGGAGATGGATGGTCCGGATGACCGTTTCGCCGATAGGGTCGACAATGCTTATGCATGAGGCCCATCGACCCTGTCCGCGGGGGTACCCGAACTGTTCAGGCGGGAGTATCTCTGCAACATGATCTGGCTTTTCCCCGCCTGGCGCTGTGGTACCTGCAGCTACTAATTGTGCACGCAGCTCTGGTGCGAGGGTGTTGTTTTCGGATTCGATCGTGTAGAACTACGGTCGGTTTGGGTGCTTGACTAGGTGCCGTGGCGTGTAGGTGAGCGGTACCGACTTGTGCGTCACGTTGTCATACAGGCTTTCGACGGAAAATATTCTACCGTCTCGCGAGTCAACCAGTGGGGAAGGACGTAAAGCAGGAAAGCCAGGAGATAGAGGACTTACCGAAGATGGTTTCCGTGGACTCCAATGATACCCTCCTCACACTGCTCGCTACTGAAGCTGCATCCCCAGTCCAGATTTCCGTAGCTAAGCGGGGTCACTAGAAAGCCTCTTGCTAGGTCAACATGGCCCAGCCAGGCCTTGGAACTGAGGGCCAAGACACGTGGTTTCTGCTTGACCGTGACCGGAAAGAGCCTGACAGGTCTGACGCCGAGGAACTTATAATTGGTATCTGTTAACGAACCTGTGTTTTCTTCCAGCACCGTTCGAAGGTAGACGCCGGAGTGCAGGCCAATGTGCAGATATGTCGTTTTCGCCATACCCGAAGAGTTTGAGCCACCAAGCAAGGAGTCGTCCATCGGTATAATGGCCAAGGCCGAGGGCGCCGCCGTGAGCGCCTGTACCGACCTGCTCTCGAGCGTCGATTCCGGATCCAAACTGAGGATCCTAATGGTACGGTCGTCGCATCCGACAGCTAAGAAGGAACTCCGCAGACGGCCTTCGGGGACTTGACCGAGGCTGAGACAAGTTACAGTCCCAGACATCTCCTCTCTCCCATCATACTCCGCAAGCGATCCATCGGCATCGTCGAGTTCGAAATAGATGATCTCTCCCGAGCTCAAAGCAACAGCGACTTGCCGTTGGTTTGTGGCAGTAGCCACTATGGTGCGGTGCTGGGGAGCCGGCCACTCGATGATCTGATCGCTGCTGCGGATATGGCGGATGCCCTTTGGGTGGACTTGGGCTAGACTATCGTCCCCTATTTGTTGAATAGCAAGCGTACTGACCGATGTGAGAAACCCCGAATCGCTGACCTGCTTTACTTCTTCCCCGATGCTCAAGACCAGCGTATCGGTGGATGAGGTCAGGATGATGTACGTGTCGTGTTTGTCCTGGCTTGTAAGCTTCGTCGTCCAGACAGCTGAGACTGTCCCCGGCAGTTCAGAAGCCACAATCTCATTGACCTCTAGCCCATGCCTCAAAATCCGAAAGTGGCTCCTTGTGCCGCTGCCACACGCGGAGTAGATTTGTGGCGCATCATCTCCTTCTCTCAGATTAACAACTCCGGAGGCCAAGATGGGGTTCATGGACTCGATGGTTTCCACCAAACTCAAGTTTCCCGAAGGTTGCGGGTCAAAGAAGACAGGGGCGATGTCTCTATTGCTATTGAATTCAACCTGGTCGTCTCCGAGCTGCTCGAACTGGTAGAGGTGGTGATTCTCAAACTCGCTGGCAACAAGCAAAAACCCGCTTTTGAGGATGCAGAGACTGCTCGCAACGGGAACAGTATCAAAGTACCTAAGTTTGATACAGTTTACCTCCCCTGTCAGATTGCCCTCACCGTCTTCCTGCATACCCAATGTTGCCTTGAATAGGTCGCCATCTTCGGTTTGTAGCAGGAAAAAGAATGCTTGGTGGTGGTATTAGCTTGGGAAACAGGTGGCCAGACAAAACCATCTGCTTACCCTTGGCGCTTCCGGCGAGACGAAATGCAGCAATAGATCTGATGGTGCCAAACAAATCCTGCGTGATCAGCGGTGATAACCTGCCCAAAGTCGCATCTTGGCGAAGGAGTGTGATCCGGGAGCCTGAAGCCGTGAGAATCTGCTGCTCCTTGGTGCCCGAGAATAGGCCGATGATGGCTTGGGTGGTGGCGGTAGGCGGTTGGATTGTGAGCGAGTACAAAATCATGTTCGAGGTGGTTGCCATGATGGCAGCTTGGTGTGTTGCCTGTGTCTTGACAACAGGACGCAGGGAGGCGGGCGAGCGTGAAGATGATCTTGTTTGTTTAGGCAGCAGAGCATCAATGTTGAAGCTGTCTTTGACCTTGGTGTTACATAGGGTGTATAGTGTGGTATCATCTTGTAACCGGCATCAGCTCAGCAGTCGCAAACAGGAGGTAGTTGTAAAAACATGGCTCATCCCCTTCATGATCGGCATCACCAAACACTTAGCTTGCTATCCTTGAAGTCTTTCCCATTTCCTCATCAGCCACCGCCATCATACTTCCATGCCGCATTCAACACACCCAAAAATCAGTCCACCGCCTCCTTGCGCGCTCTCCTACTCAAAATATGCTCTCTAAAAAGCCAGCCCAAGCCGACCGTCGGCCCAGGCCAACAAGCGCCACACTGACCAAACCCAAGCCAACAACCTCAACCCACCCCTCCCCCAGTATCCCCGCCGCCTTGAGATCCCAAAAACAGGTCCGCCATCCACGCCAGATGAGGCCCGGCCACAAACACCTGGTCCCACCGCAGAAACCGCACCACATACCCCGTCAGATCCCGCACCCCATCGTTCGGTAGCGCCAGCGCCGCGGCAGATGGGAGATGAGTATATGTACATACCATCGGAATGGGGTCCATCTCGTCGCGTGGCGGCGGGCCGACTCAAAGATCTGGATAGTCAGGAACACGCAGCGCATAGTTACCTACCTACCTGGATTGCACGCTTTAGTTTGCTCTCTCGTGGCCAGCCGCCCTCAAATATGGTGCCAACGGCGCTGCCATCACTGAGCGGAGATGGGTGTTTTTGGGACTCCTCTGAAGTATCATTTGATTCGGCCGTTGATTGTAAAGGACAGGTTACAGCGGTGCGGCGCGGGCTGGGGTGAACAAGAACACCAAGGATTGGGAACTGCGGCTGATATTTTGATCACATGAAATGGTTAGCAGATAGTCAGATAGTTGGCAACACGGCAGATAACGGATGGGGGGTTGCTCTTGTTGTGGCGTGCAGAGCAGCGGCTGAAGGAACAACAGGAGTGGTTGCCCAGAGACATAGTGAGACATGTCTCTACCTACTTGTAGACATCGCGAGACATGGATCGGCAAGCACATACTGTGAGTGTTTGACAACTCACAGCTCACAGACTAGCCGCTGGAGCCAAGTAAGTTAGGTACGATGGCTTCCATTCAAAATTGTTTAGGTGGCTATTTAATCCGTTTCCGCGTTTGGCGCCAAAAACGAAAACGAAGATGAAAAGAAAAAAAAGAAAGGCTTCGTCACAAATGCTATCTCATTACCTAACTGCCTAGTCAGTCAAAGATAATTAGCAGGATAAAGCAGTAGAATCTATTTTTATCTATCTGCGTTCGTAATTTAAAGGTTTAATACCAAATTCGCACGAAAATCGACCTGCAAGTTGTTTCTACCAGTTTGGTAGGACCAGTCCACTCCGTATTAGATCCCATCCCTTTCGCCCCGCCCTGAATTTGCTACGATAATTGAAACCTACTACCCATAACAGCAGCGTAATGAAGGGCGAGCAATCGTCTTCGCAGAATGTTGGGGGGTTTACCATCACATCGCTCTCACAAGCTATAGTTGGCGGTACCACCTACCTACTTCAACGATGCAACTGAAGATTGTAAAGAGAACCTGGGAGTTAGGGAACCCGCCTCAAGCCTAAGCCCGACGCCAGAACGGCGTTACGCTCGGAAGCCTTGATGTTTTCGCTGCAATATTACCTACTCGAATTGACTACTTCCTTCTTAGGTTTACTCTTCCCTCGGTGGGGTTACCTTGTCTCTCAAGGCTTTTTTGGTTTGATAGGAGTTAACTCGCGTGTTTCGGTGATTGTCGGATCGCAGCTTTCGTCTAGCAATCTGAACTGGGGTCGGTTACCCCTGAAGGCGGCTTTCCTTTTTCTTTTTTCTTGGACTGGCAGGGCTGGCTACCCTCGGTGGGGGTGCGGGACCCCTTGAAGCTCGACTTGAGGCGCCAACTAACTCATGAGAGAATCAAAAACACAGCTCGTCACTTGGTATCTTCCAGACTGTGGATGTCGATGACCTCAATCGCCAAGCCAACGTACTTGGGCACGTTGCACGTTTGCCATTCACGCCCTGGCCTGACTGATTTAGGCGGCTTGGGATTCGGTAGAAGAGCGGTGAGCGAGCCTGGGCCAAAGCCGACTTGATCACAGTCACGACTGGCATCCCTAGGACTGGCATGTCTTACACTTTTGCACTGAAGCTCACCTATCCATCATTGATCTCAGCTCTTGGCCCTGTTGGCCATTCATTGCTGGCGCGAACTTGACCAGGAAAGGAAGCGAGGAGAGTCAAAAACCAGGGTCCATTGACTAACCTTAAACGCTTAGCTGCCGCGTCAGGACAAGGGTCGTAGGGTCCTGATCGCTCCCGGATCGCCGAGGGAGCGGGCCGGTCACAATCGGCTACTGCACGCCGTGCATGTTTGTCTCATTCTTCAAATGGGGATCACGATGGGGTGCTTTTGGAGGTTTGGATCGCCCATGCACGCCTGACGGGCGCGCTTGCGACAGGTCCCCAACGCAGCTGAGCTGAGTCCTGCCAAGAAGATCTTCAGAAGACGACATCCGAATGTCGGGCCCTAGGGGAGACATCGTACACGTTGACTAACACCAGGAGTTCTAACTTGCGAGGCCTTACTCATGTCATCATCAGGATATCAGCTTCAAACTTCACGCGCCAAGGTTAACGCCCGGGCCGATTCGGCAGGGCCAGCTCAGCAGAGCAATCTCGACCAATCCGCCTGGGGAAGATGGCCGCCCATGCATGGCTCACTATGGCGCCTATACAGAACGGAATGCAGGATCGTCGTTTTTAGTTTTGAATTGTTGACCCAAACTCTCTACGTCTCTTCTCGTCACTTTATAATAAGATACACTTGCTGCCAGTTCCGCCCTCACTGCTCATGCTGGATACCCTCTCTCTGGAACCCTTCAACATCTTTAACACCTTACCAAGGACCCCTGATTCTTAGTCCGCTTCCCTCCCTCCCCCATTAGCTCCTCGAGTTGTCAACTACTTCTGTTGTTTGTGTCCTTGTTGTTCGTGTCCAACCCGTTTCCACCATGGCCAGACCTGATCCCCACGAGCCTATTGCCATCATCGGCAGCGCCTGCCGCTTCCCCGGCGGCTCAGATACACCATCCAAGCTGTGGGAACTGCTACGCGAGCCACGAGATGTGCTCCAAGAAAAGATTGACCGAGCTCGGCGTTTCGACCCGTCCGCCTTCTTTCACCCAGACAACAACCATCACGGGACAACAAATGTCCAGTCTTCGTACCTCCTGGACGACGACCCGGCCAACTTCGACGGTGGCTTTTTCAACATATCCGCAGCTGAGATCGAGGCCATCGATCCACAGCAGAGAATGCTCATGGAAACAGTCTACGATTCATTATGCTCAGCTGGTCACACCATAGAAGGTTTGCGGGGCTCTTCCACCGCCGTCATGGTGGGCCTGATGGGAGACGACTGGTCCAATTTGGTCTACAGGGACCTGGAAGCCCTCCCCAAATATGCCGCCACAGGGGTAAGCCGCAGCGTCGTGTCGAATCGCCTGTCTTATTGTTTCGACTGGCGTGGGCCGTGCATGACCATCGACACTGCCTGTTCGTCCAGCATGGTGGCCGTCCACTTGGCTATCCAGGCTTTGCGCAATGGCGAGTCTCACATGGCCGTTGCCGCGGGAGCTAACCTGCTTCTTAGCCCTGGTAAGTCTTTTGGGGAAGCGACTTGGTGATTGAATGTTAGTTGACAATCTCGACTACTCCGTTAGCTATGTATGTTGCTGAGAGCAACCTACAAATGCTTTCGCCGAATGGGAGAAGCAGGATGTGGGACAAGAATGCGGACGGTTATGCTCGCGGAGAAGGGATTGCCTCCGTTATCCTCAAGCCACTGTCCGCTGCGATCCGGGATCGTGATCATATCGAATGCATCATCCGTGCCACGGGTGTCAACCAAGACGGTAAGACGCCCGGGCTGACCATGCCTAGCGCAGCAGCGCAAGCCGCTCTTATCCGGGACACGTACGCTCGCGCCGGTCTTGATCTTAGCAAGCCAGAAGACCGTCCACAGTTCTTCCATGCCCACGGCACCGGAACCCCTGCCGGAGACCCTCAGGAAGCCGAGGCCATTGCAAAGGCCTTCTATCCCCGGGGCGCTCCGGAAGGCGAGAAGCTGTACGTCGGGTCCATCAAAACTATCATTGGTCATACCGAAGGCACTGCGGGTTTAGCCAGCCTTGTTGGTACATCTCAGGCGTTACAGAACGGCATGATTCCTCCAAACCTACACTTCGCCGGGCTCAACCCTAAGATCGAACCCTTCTATGGTGGTTTGGAAGTCCCGACCGTGGCGAAGCCGTGGCCCGAACTCCTCCCGGGCCAACCACGGAGGGCAAGCATCAACAGCTTCGGTCAGTATTCCCACTGTCTTTTTTCTTTTTTTTTTTTTTTTTTTGTTCCCCCCCTTTGCCACCCCACATCCGGTGAGCAAGCATGAAACTGAGAATGGTATTTTGCAAAAAACAGGCTTCGGCGGCACAAACGCCCACGCTATTGTGGAATCCTACGACAACACCCTGAACGCCTCCACGACGCCACAGCCGGGCAGTTTATTCACTCCCATAACCATCTCCGCCGCGAGCGAAAACTCGCTGCGTGACCTTTTGTCGTCATATATTGGCTATCTCCGGGCCCACCCAGAAGTGCCACTGCAGGACTTCGCTCATACCCTACAGGAGAGACGTTCGACGCTTGCCCATCGTGCCTTCATCACGGCGTCAACCAACGAAGAGGCCGCCACCAAGATGACACAACTCCTCGCGCCGGAACGCTCCGATCAGTTGGGCACCAAGCACGGCAGCGTTACCGACCCGCGCCTGCTTGGCATCTTCACGGGCCAGGGCGCCCAGTGGCCGCGGATGGGGGCCATGCTGATCGAAATGTCGCCCTTTGCCGCGAGCCGGCTTGCTGAGCTTGACAGCTCCCTGAGCTCTCTGCCCGTGGACGACCGGCCGGCAACGACTCTGCGGGAAGAGCTGCTTGCCGATGCCGCAAGCTCCAGAATCGCCGAGGCAGCTCTGTCGCAGCCCCTGTGCACCGCCGTGCAGATCGTGCTGGTTGACTTGCTCCGCGCCGCCGGGATCAAGTTTTCGGCTGTCGTGGGCCACTCGTCAGGTATCTTCCAACCCTTCTTCAACTTATTCCGATCACGCATACTGACGATCCATGCTTCTAGGTGAGATTGCCGCCGCATACGCCGCAGGGTTCATCACGGCGCATGACGCGATCCGTGTCGCTTATTACCGTGGGCTGTATTCCAAGTTTGCCCTGTCCCCCAGAGGGCAGCCCGGTGCCATGATGGCTGTCGGAGCCTCGTTAGAAGAGGCCGCCGAGTTCTGTCAGCAAGAGGCATTTAACGGCAAGCTGCAGGTTGCGGCGTACAACTCGTCGTCGAGCGTGACGATCTCGGGCGACGAAGACGCCGTCGTGGAGGCCGTCGACACTCTGAAAAGGGAGGGCAAATTTGCCCGCCGGCTGAAGGTCAGCGTTGCCTATCACTCTGCTCACATGATTCCGTGCGCCGCTCCGTACCTCGCCGCCCTCGAGGCCGCCGTGGCCATCGCTCCGACCGAATCTCTTGCCGAGGATAGGCCCACCTGGTATTCTTCCGTCCATGGAGGCCGCGCCATGACGGCCGACGATCTCAGCCCGCAGTACTGGGTGGAGAACCTTACCGGTATGGTCCGCTTCGCCCCGGCGGTAACTGCTGCCGCGACAAATGGTGGTCCCTTCGACATGGCTCTCGAGGTCGGACCACATCCGGCGCTCAAGGGCCCTTGTCTGGGCACGCTAGAAGAAGCAGGAAATAAGATTCCTTATTTCGGGACTCTTTCTCGGGGAGGCAACGACATCACATACATGGCGGAAACTCTTGGGTTTGTCTGGGCCAAGCTTGGTCCACGGTCCGTCCTGTTCGACGCCTTCGAGATTGCCGTCTCAGGCACCGAGCCCGGAGCGCGCCGCTTCCTCCCAGACCTCCCCAAGTATCCCTTTGACCATTCCAGGCCGTCCTGGGCCATGACCCGCATCTCGGGTTCTTATGGCGCTTCGGCTCTCGCGCCGCCTCACCCACTCCTGGGTAAACGCCAGGCTGAACAGGAGACGCCGCTTGAGATCCGGTGGCGAAACATTTTCAAACTCAAGGAATTGTCTTGGATGAGCGGCCACAAGCTCCAGGATCAGATTGTGGTTCCGGCCGCGGCCTTTGTGGCTATGGCGGTGGAAGCCATCACTGCCGTCGCTGCTGGTAACGGGCTGAGCATTTCCCTGATTACCCTGGAGGACCTCTCGATTGACCGCGGTATTGCCTTCGACGACGACGCTTCCAACATCGAGGTTGTCTTCTCCGTCAGTGTGAACCAGCGCAATGACCAGAGCATCCGGGCCAGCTTCTCTTGCTCCTCGGGCCCTGCCCACTATGCCGGGAAGCCCCTGCTGCTCAACGCTCGAGGGACTATCACGGCCATGTTTGGGGAGCCGGACGCGGACCAGCTTCCTTTCGTCCAGAAGGAAGACTGGAATCTGACTTCTATTGAGGTGGACCGCTTTTATGAACAGTTCGACAATCTCGGATATGGTTACGCGCAGCCGTTCCGCGGCGTGCGGTCCATCGACCGTCGGACCGGCTACGCCATCGGAACTATTGAGAACCAATGCGGCTCCAACTGGGAGGACCAACAGTTCCTTATCCATCCCGGCCTTCTAGACACGGCATTCCAGACTTCTTCTGCGGCCTTCACCTGTCCCGGAGACGGCCGCCTCTGGGCCGTCTACATCCCGGCCCGGATCAAGCGCCTGACCATCAACCCGCACTTTTCCGTCGCTGGCGGTAGCCAGGGGTCCGAGATCTTTCCCTGGGAGTCTGCGGTCACGAGTTACAAGGATGCGCGGACCACACTCGACATCAACCTGTTCTCGCCGGACGATGCCCACACCTTTGTGCAGATCGAAGGCCTCGAGCTCATGCCGCTCACCCCGGGCCGGCCCGAGGACGACACTCCCCTCTTTACTCGGTTCGAGTACTGCGTCGACCAGCCAAATGGCGAACTCGCAGCCTCGACGGACGGTGCCCTGTCTGCCGAAGACATCGAGCATGCCATCACGGCCGAGAGAGTGGCTCTTTACTACCTACGCCGCTTACTCGAAGCGATCACGCCCGAGGAGAAGGCCAGCGCGTTGCCCCATTACCAACAGCTTCTGGACTGGGCTGAACGTGCGGTTGAACTGGTAAAGAGCAGAAGAAATGCCTCGGTTCCAGCGACATATGCGAACGATACCAAGGAAACAATCAGTGCTCTTCTTGCCAGGTATGCACAACCCCTTTTTAACATGCCAATTTTGCCTCGGTCCTTGTGCTAACCATGTCTTTGATCAGAAACTCTCAACGGGCCGACCTTCGGCTCTTAAAAACCGTTGGTGCGAGCCTCCCAGATGCCGTACGGTCTGGTTCAAGCATTGTCGAGCACATGGTTCAGGACGATCTTCCGGACTTCGGCCGGAACGCGGCCAATGGCCAACTCTCGTGCATGGTGGCCCAGATTGGTCACCGCTACCCGCACGCTAATGTTCTCGAGATAAGAGCCGGGAAGGGCGAATCCACGGGCTACGTTCTTAATGCCCTTGGTTCCGCTTTCTCTACCTACACCTACACCGACGCATCCGAGGACTCGTTCGAGGCGGCCCAGGAGCGTTTCCGGGAGTATTCCAGCCGCATGGTTTTCCGCAAGTACGACATTGAGCAGCCCCCTGCAGCCCAAGGCTTCACTGAGGGATATTACGACGTTGTGTTTGCTTCCGGCCTCCTCAACGGCACCGCGCAGCCGGACGAAGTCATCTCGAACGCTCGCCATCTGTTGAAGCCTGGAGGCTATTTGATTACGCTGGAACGGACCAGTAACGACAACCTTGCCGCCGGTCTAACCATGGGAAGCTTGCCGAGCTGGTGGGCGGGGACCGGGCCGGCGTTGAGCCTGTCGAGATGGGATGAACTCCTGGTGAAGTCCGGCTTCAGCGGAGTCGACACGGATACACCTCCGACCCATAGGCTGAACCCTTATACCGTCTTCGCTGCCCAGGCGGTCAATGAGCGCATTGAGCTGCTCCGGTCTCCCCTCGAGAGTGCCCCCGAAACCCCCGCGCCACGGCTCGTCATCTTGGGTGGTCAGACGCTTGCCGTGCAGCGGGCGATTCGTGGCCTCAAAGCGCTGCTGCGGTCGCGGTTCGAACAGATCGATGTAGTCAACGCCGTCGAAAGCCTCGATGACAACACCATGATTCCCGGGAGCTCTGTCTTGTCTGTCACCGAATTAGACGAGCCCGTGTTTGCAGCCATTTCTCCCGTCAAACTAGAGGGTCTTAAGGCGCTTTGGCGTTCTGCGGGCACAGTGTTGTGGGTGACACGCAGGGCGAGAACCGAGGAGCCGCTGTCATTCATGAGCCACGGCCTCTGCCGCGTGGTCAAGTACGAGTATCCCAACGTCTCGCTGCAGGTGCTTGACTTGGATGTGCTCGACGCGAAGACTCCGGAGCTGATTGCCGAGGAGTTTATCCGCACGGCGGCCCTAAAGAAGTGGGCGAAGGAGGCCAAGGACAGCGATATCTTGTGGTCGTCCGAGCCCGAGGTGAGCATAGAGTCCGGCAAGCGACTCATCCCGCGCCTCTACAAGTTTGCCGAGGCGAATGACCGGTATAAACCCGCTCGCCGCACGCTCATGAAGTCGGTCGACCCCCTGAAGACGTCCGTTGTTCTCGCCGCGTTGGCCACGGCCCATCCTACGAACTCCGGGCCCCATCGCCGCTGCGTCTACCACCGCCGCCCCCATCCTCCCTTTCCCCAACAACCACCACCAGCACCGTCACCGTGTCCATCTCCCACATGCTGCTCCAGGCGATCGAGCTCGCCTGTAACGCACGCGTGTTCCTCTGCGTGGGCATCGACCAAGCCGCCGGCAACGCAGTCCTGGCCGTGACGCACACAGCCGAGTCCCGGCCTACCATTCCCGCGGGTTGGACTGTCCCCCTGCCCTCCGACGCCGACCTGGAAAAAGCGGTCGCCGCCGTTGCCGCCCAACTCGTCGCCTCCACCATCCTCTCCCTCGCCCAATCCGGAAGCGCCGTCCTCGTGCACGAGCCGGACGTCCTGGTCGCCGCCGCGCTCACTCAACAGGCCGCAAAGACACAGATCGAGGTCGTAATCACAACCGCCACCACCACCAGCAACAACAACAACAACACATGGCATCACATCCACAGCAAACTATCTTCCCGCGCCATCAAAAAGATCCTCCCCTCCCACCTCTCCGTCTTTGCCGATCTGTCCCAGACCGCGCACGCCGCGCCCGCAGGCAAGCTCATCGCCAAGTGCCTGCCCACCGCGTGCGCCTCGTTCGGCGCGGCCCGCTTCTACGGCACGACCGCGCAGACGCCCACCTGGCTGGCCGCCGAGAGCGTGGCCGCGGCGCTGGCCGGTGCCTGGCGTGGCGTGCAACAACAACAAGGCGGCGGTGGTGGTGGTTGGAGCGCGATGGAGATGGAGAGGGATGGCCGCCCCGCGGTCCTGTCCCTGCGGGATGTCCCGGCCAGGTCGGTGTTTGGATCCCCGCTTGCTGTGGTAAGTTGGTCGGGGGGGTGGTCCTGTGTCGGTTCGGGTTGAGGCGGTGGATGAGGGGGCGATCTTCCGGCCGGATAGGACTTACTGGTTGGTGGGCATGGCTGGTAGTATGGGGCAGGGGCTGTGCAAGTGGATGATCGAGCATGGCGCCAGGTATGTGGTTCTCTCCAGCCGGCGGCCCAAGCCGTTGCATCCCGGCTTTCTGGGGTTTGCGCAGAGCATGGGCGCTACGGTGGAGGTGCTCCCGCTCGACGTGACCAGCAAGGACGCTGTGTTCGAGTGCCATCGGCAGATGGCTGAGATTCTGCCTCCTGTAGGCGGGGTTGCCATGGGGGCCATGGTTCTGGATGACTCGCTGTTTGAGGGGCTCTCGTTCGAGGCCCTGACCAGAGTGCTCGAGCCCAAGGTGGCCGGCACGCGTAACCTCGACGCCCTGTTCCACACCACCCCACTGGACTTCTTCATCGTCTTTTCCTCGCTGGTGTGCGCCACGGGCAACAGCGGCCAGAGCAACTACGTTGCTGCCAACATGTACATGGCGGCGGTTGCCCAGCACCGCAAACGGCGCGGTCTGGCCGGCTCCGCCATCTCCCTCGGCTCCGTCATGGGTGTCGGTGTCGTGGAGCGGACCGAGGGGCTGACTAGCGAGTACTTTATCAACCTGGGGACACGGAACGTCTCGGAGCAGGACGTCCAACAGCAGTTTGCCGAGGCCATTCGGGTCGGGCATCCGGATTGCGATGAGGCTGCCGACATCGTGGCCGGGCTGGTGCCCATCTACGCCGATACCGAGGCCAAAGCCCAATATCGTGATGATCCCAAGTTTGGCCACATCATCATGCACCGGGCCGGTGCTAGCGACAAGTCTGGCAGGCCGCGCGTTACGCTCCCGGTCCGTGTTCAGTTGCCAGAGGTGAAGAGCCGGGCTGAGGCGATGGAGGTGATCAAGGGTGAGTGTCTCTTCCTCTAATCCTACCTTTTTGTTTGCCACTACAAACTTGATGCTAACACAGATGCTTCTACCTAGCATCTTTTATCTTCCGGCTCAAGCGTATCTTGATGATTGCGCAGAGCGATGCCGTCCACGAGAACCTCTCTCTCGTCGAGCAAGGCATGGACTCCTTGATGGCCGTCGAAGTCCGCTCGTGGTTTCTAAACGAGATGGAGGTGGATATTCCAACCCTCAAGATCCTCGGCGGCAGCACGATCGGCGACCTGCTCGTCGAGGCAGTGGGCCGCATGCCGGTTTCGATCATGGACCTGAGCACCCTCCCTAGCGCTGGGGCCGGGGATAGCACGAAGGAGGCCGAAGTGAAGCCGAAGCCGAAGCCGAAGCCTCAATCGGTCACATCTCCGCCGCCAGAGGTCGAAGACCTTCGGGCCTCTGTGTCATCCTTGACCTCGTCCTCTTCCGAGTCGACAACTCCCGGTGATATGAGCCCCTCACGCAGCGCAGAGCTAGTACGGACGCCGGAGACCCAGTCAACCGAGCCTAGCACCCCGGTAGATACCCCAAGTGAGCTTTCTCTCCATCATGAGAAGCCTACTTTGAGAACCGCCACGAGTACCGAAAAGGAACGGACCGTCCCCATATCGCACAGCCAAAGAGGGTTCTGGTTCCTTCAGGACGACCTCAAAGACAAGGCCACCTTCAACATGACGGTCATGTTCAAGCTCACCGGGCATATGGATGTGCCGCGGCTTGAGAGAGCTGTGCAGACGCTGGGTCGTCGCCACGAGGCTTTGAGAACCAGGTATTTTGTGTCGGACGAGGAGGGCGGGAGAGCCGTCATGCAAGGCATCCTCGAGGGAGACTCCCCTGTTCGCCTTGTGCACAAGCGTCTCGCAGCGGAATCTGACGCGTACGACGCGTTGAACAAGATGCACAGCCACGAATGGGATCTTGGCTCGTGGGAGGCTGCCAGGATTCACCTCCTGACGGTGGATGACAACACGCACTTTCTGCTTGCCGGAGGCCACCACATTTCTTGGGATGGCTACAGCTTTAGCGTCCTGTTCGTTGATCTAGAAGCAGCTTACTCGGGAAAGCCGCTCGGCCCTCTTGGTCCTGAGAACCAATTCTGGGCCGCTACCCAGGCGCAGATCGACCTGCAGAAGACGGGGGGGATGAAGAGCACGCTCGATGAGCTTCGCGGCATCATTGATCCGAACCGCCCGCCCATCTCGCTTTTCCCCTTTGCGAAGTCTCCGACGCGGCCGGCCGTGAGCGAGTTTGCCCAGTTTGAGGCCAAAGCGACGCTCCCGCCGGGGGTCGTTTCCAAACTCCGACAGGTTGCCCGGACAAACCGCTCGACCATGTTCCACCTCTACCTCGCCGCCATCCAAGGCCTTGTACTCCGCCTGCTCCCAGATACAGACGACTTCTTTGTTGGCATTGCCGACGCGAACCGCCTCGACCGCCGTTTCATCGGAAGCCTGGGCCTCTTCCTGAACCTGCTCCCTGTCCATTTCAAGCGCGGCGGCCAGGGCACCAGGGTCAGTAACCTGATCCAGGGGGCGCGTGACGCCGCCTACGGCGCCCTCCAGCGGTCGAGCGTGCCTTGGGGTGTCGTCCTCGACGAGCTCAAGATCCCGCGCGTCAGCGGCCACTCGCCCGTCTTCCAGCTCTTCTTCAACTACAACCAGGTCGTCCATGAGCGGTCGACGTTTGGGGGTTGTAAGCTCAGCGACGAGTCGTGGTTAGATGCGGGCACCGGCTATGACTTTGCCCTGGGCGCCACCGACAACCCCAAAGGCGAGTCGAGGCTGTCCCTCCGGCTTTCGGCGGGCACGTACACCCAGGAAAGCACTGAGCTCCTAATGCGGTCCTTCGTGAATGTGCTCGAGACCTTTGCGGCGGGTATCGACTGCGAGGCTGCCGACCTGCCGGCCTATGCTCCCCGGGATATCGAGTTGGGCCTCGAGGCTGGTAAAGGTGAGATGAAGAGTTGCTATAGTATCCAAGCGTGATATTACGGGAGAACTAGAGACTAATATGTGTCACAGGGCCGGAAACCACACTCGAGTGGCCTCTCACTCTGCCGCACCGCATCGATCAAATGGTCGAGACCCACGGATCCGCGCCGGCCTTGAAGGATGGTCTAGGTGACGACCTAACTTACGAGCAGATGGCATACCGCGTACATGTCATCGCCGCCAGTCTTGTTGCCGCTGGGGCAGGCGACGGCGCAGTTGTAGGCGTCTTCCAGACCCCATCCGCCGACTGGATCTGCTCTCTGCTGGCCATCATGAGGGTCGGCGCAATTTACGTGCCCCTCGATCTTCACAGCTCGATGGACCGGCTGGCCACCATCACGAGGCTTGCAAAGCCGGGTTTCCTGCTAGTTAACGCGACCACATCCTCTCAAACCGACGGACTTAATCTCCCCGAGGCCGTGAAGATCGTCGTTTCCGACTTGTCGGGGGGCGAGGCCAAGGCCTACGCCGTCCCTAACCAGGCAAAGCCCGACTCGACTGCTCTCATGCTCTTTACCAGTGGCACGAGCGGACAACCCAAGGGAGTCCTGCTGACGCACGCTAACTTGCGCGCTCAGGTCGAAGGACACTCTCGCGCCTGCGGTCTACCATCCCTGGTCAGCGTGGTTCTGCAGCAAAGCATCTACAGTTTTGACATGTCGGTCGACCAGACTTTCACCGCACTCGCACACGGCGGCTGTCTTGTGGTGGTGCCCGCTGACAAGCGTGGAGACCCGGAATCTGTCACCGCCCTTATGGCTGAGCATGGTGTTACCTACACCTTGGCCACACCGGCCGAGTACAACACGTGGTTCAGTTATGCGCGCGATAACCTGGCCCGCTGTCAGGCATGGCAAGCAGCGCTGTCCGGTGGAGAACATCTTCAGCGCGGACTTGTCGGCCAGTTCGCCGACCTTGCGCGCGAGCAGGTCCCCGGGTTGCGGCTCTTCAACGCTTACGGCCCGACCGAGGTGACCGCCGCGGCTACCGGGGGAGAGGTCAAACATAGCGATCCGGAGCTGGAATACCCAATCTCGGTTGGATCCGTGTTGCCCAACTACCGGATGGCCGTGGTCGATGACCGGATGCAGACGATGCCGGTGGGCGTGGCCGGCGAGATATGCGTCGGCGGACCGGGTGTGGCCCGCGGCTATCTGCCGTCCCCCGGCGTGACTCAGGATAGCTTCATTCCCGGCGCCAACATCCACCCATCGCTAGCTGAGACCGGTACATGGTATCGCACCGGCGACCTCGGCGTCCTCCGAGCAAGCGGCACCGTCGACATCATCGGCCGCATCTCCGGTGACAACCAAGTCAAGCTCCGCGGATTCCGCGTCGAGCTACAGGAGGTGGAAGCTGTGCTCCTCACAGCCGCGAACGGCGCGCTCTCACACGCGATCGTCACAGCCCGCGGCGAGGGCGAGGGCCGCTTCCTAGCGGCGCACGTCGTGTTCGGGCTTGAGGTACCCCATGACCGCCGCCCCGGCCTCACCCAGCGCCTCGAATCGGGACTCCCACTCCCCTCCTACATGCAGCCCACCGTGGTCATACCCATCGACAACATCCCCCTAACCAAGCACGGCAAGTTCGACCGCGCCGCGATCCAGGCCCTGTCGCTCCCAGCCAAGCCCAACCCGACCACCGTCGCCGCCGCCGAGCTGACCGCGGAGGCGAGAATGGCCGCGCTGTGGCGCAAGGTCATCCCGCACGGCATCCAGGCGGCGCTTACGCCCGAGACGGGCTTCTTCGAGGCCGGCGGCACCTCCATCCTCCTGGTGAAGCTCCGGGCCCTCATCAAGACCGAGTTCCGCTACGCGCCCCGTCTGGCGGAGCTGATGAACGGCAACACGTTGGGTGGTATGGCCAAGGTCGTCGAGTCCCGCATGCCCCCGCGGGCCCTGGGCGGGAAGGCGGAAGTGTCTGGGCCGGCGCCCCCGGGGTTGGTGGTTCCCCCTGGCAGCTCTGCGGATGGTGGTGTAGCAGACGCAGAGGCAGGCCAGTTGGAGAATTAGGTTGAGGGAGGGTGGATTTGTGCGTTGTGAGACGTTGGGGTTGGGTTTGTTTTCGGTTAAGGGGTGTTGGTGGCAGAGCGGTTTTGTGGGTTGGGTTGGGGATAAGGGTCAATAGCGAGTTATGAATTGTTTAAAAGATGATCTGGGAACCTTCGGATAGAGGATAAAAGCTTTCTCTTAGTTTTTTTTTTTTTTTTTTTTCCTTGGCTTTTCTCTTCTATCTCAATTTCATAGCCACTCAGTCTGCACTGATGAATGATGATAAGAACTTCTTAACCTACCTTCTGTTTCTAATACTGAGTACAAGGCATCAGCATTGCTTCGCATATGTTCTTCAGGGGCACGATCCTAGACTACCAAGGTAAAACTACGGCGGAAACTAATGAAAAGCCCCTCCCTTGCCCAACCGTCCCGGCTCATAAACGGTGCCGTGGTAACCAACATGATGCCCATGTCATGGGCCGGTCGAAGCTTATGAGACTGTAGACCAAAGGGGGTGGACGTGGAGAATGAGGCGGTCAAGGCCACGGCGGCGCTGGAAGGGGCTGGTAACTGGTTTGGACCACGGCGATATCTTACCGGTCAATCTTCTATGGAACGAGGAAGTTGGGGACGTGATGCGGATCGATTTTAAGAGCACATTTGACAAACCGAAGCCGTCTGCTCAAGCCAACCTTGTACTCGACACTCTTACAGCGGGGGCGTATCATTAAACTCATCCAACAGGCCCGGCGGCACCCGGATCCCAGCGATGCCCACCTCCTCAAGCCACCCCCTAATCTCCTTCTCCTCCTCCCCATCCACACTCACACCCACCGCGCCCACATTCTCCTCCAAGTACCTCACATTCTTGGTCCCCGGAATCGGAATCACATCCTCCCCCTGCGCTATCAACCACGCCATGGTCAACTGCCCCGGGCGAGCACCCCTTCCGCCTCGCCATCTCACCAAACCGCTCCACCAACAACAAATTCTTCGCAAAATTCTCCTCACTAAACCGCGGCATCAGCCTGCGCAGATCCCCCGGCTCGAAATCGTCGGGCGACCGCAGCCGGCCTGTCATGATGCCGCGCCCCAGCGGCGCGTACGCAAACACCGAGAATGCCCAGGCTCGCGGCAGGCGCGCAGCGGTGTGGCGCTCTCGGACCCTCGATCTCCAGCGCCCAGGGAGAATACTCGACTTGGTAGGCGGCGAGGGGCGCGATGGCGCTCGCGCGGTGCAGGGTGGCCGCGGAGCAGGCGGATATGCCCGATGTGTTTGAATTTTGTTTTCTCTGTGGGGAGTGGGGGTTGGGGTTGGTTAGGGTTTGATATGGGCAAGGAAAAGGGGGAGAGGGAGGGGGGTGACAGGTACCTACTGTTGTAGCTTGACCAACTCCGCCATCGTCTTCTCAATCGGCGTCTTATTGTCCACGCGGTGTATGTAATACAGATCAATGCATGACACCCCCAGCCTCTTCAGACTCTTCTCACACTGCTGCCGGCAGTACTCGGGCGAGCTGTCGACCAACAGGCCGCGGCTGCCGTCTTCGCGAACCCCCACAGTGAGCCCGAACTTGGTGGCCAGAAAGATGTCGTCCCTGCGCTCCGGGTGCCGCGCAAACCACTTGCCCAACAGGTCCTCGCTGTCGCCGTACATGTCGGCCGAGTCCCAGTTGGTGCAGCCCAGCTCCCAAGCCCGGTCGAGCACCTTGAGCCGGTCTTCGTCGGGGCTGCAGGGTGCATGGATGGGTTAGCTAATGCCACAAGGGCCAGAGTGCAGTTATCTAACTCACCCTACTGAGCCGTACGCCGTGCTGAGGCCCATGAGGCCGAAGCCGATGGCCGTTATCTCGGGGCCGTCTCTGCCCAGCTTGCGGGTCGGAAGTTTCACGGGTGGTGCCATGTTGCCTTTGCTACCTGAATAATGTGACGAGCCAAAAAGGTGGAAGAGATGAAACCAGGGTCTTATAGGGGAATTTGGAACTTGGAAGCATGTGAAGTGTTGTCCGGATAAGCATATCCCGGAACGCCGGTTGTGTTTCATTCCTCGGACAGCTCCGTCCCGGCCACTAATATACGCCCGGTTGCGTTCCCGGTGTGGGGGTGGCGCCTGGGACTTGGAAAACGCGGGCGCGGAAAAGAGACAACCTTTTTTGTCATCCACAATCCGATGCAGTGAATCTACCATTCATCTCGCCAAGGTTTCCACGTTCAACCTCAGGATGCGCGTACTTCCAGCGCTCTGGCAATATAAAATCACAAACCTTGGTTGAGCTGGGCTTAGCTGCGATGCCTGGGGTTATTTTGAGCTTACAATAGCCAAATACCCCTTGGGCGCCTTTCCACATTGTTGCGCATGCGGTGCTTGTCCTACCCATAGTGAGGAGCAGTAATTCGTCCAGTCACATCAAAATCCGAGCCACGGTCGGATTTGCGGAATAGGTAACACATTATGCGTTGCTTGGAGCTGGGGTATGTCGAGCATCTCAAGCAGGAGCATGACCCCCGTTTACTCTCGGCGGGATTCGGATGGTGGTCAGATCACGGGCTCAGTTTGCTGACTGCTTGTCCTGACAGCCAATATGAGCAGGGCAAAGGTCTCCGTGAGGATCTCTGTACGACTTTCCCGATCGACATCTTGTGTCCCCCTCTAAATGCAACCTTGTTGTCACCCAGGCCCCTCCCTCATTGGCCGTCACACTGCTTCAGCACAGCACAAGCTGCCTGCGCGTGCCCAGCTCCCGGCGCCACGATGCCATCCGCTTGGCTCTCGATTTTCGACATTGCCTTGGGCTTAGCTCGCCAAGAGCTGAAGCCGAATGTCTAAGCCCAATGTGCGCTTAGCGTGATGTCTTGTTGATCTCTGCAGCCTCTCATCCCGGCCCCTTACTCGGGGCCAGCCGAAATGGTGCTGGCACCGAGTCTACCGCTGACTACCTGCAGAAGGGCGGTCATGAGGCGGCCAACGAGGCAGCGACGACGCTTCATGCGAGCCATTTAAGACTACCAGCCCTCGCTTGTCGATCGGACACGGTCCCATTGTTTTTTCTCCTTTGTGTTGCCGAACTTGCCGTTTCAACGTGGAGAGTAGAGACAAAAACAACGACGACGAGGACAGCTGAAAATCAGAAACTTCGACGCTGAGTAAAGCCTTCACAATGGCAACCCCCTTAGACCCAGAACACCCCAGTATAACCCGACCGGGTCCGCCAAAACGCCTTATTTTGTGCTGCGATGGGACATGGATGGACTCCTTGGGCTCAAAAGGGTGAGCGATTTCTTCACGGCTCAACTCGATGACCTCACTGACAAAAGAAGCGAACCACCGTCCAATGTCACCCGTATCTCGCGTGTTTTTCGTCGGACCTGTAGCGATGGCACACACCAAGTCATCAACTACTTCCCCGGTGTCGGCACCGCCAACCCCATCGACCGTTTCATGGGCGGTGCGTTCGGCATGGGCTTGGATCAGGTGCGTCCCCTGGCTATCCCTTGTTCGCAACAGCTGCTGACATGCACAGGATATCCGTGAGGTGTATAATTTTATCTGTGCCAACTACGTCGACGGTGATGCCATTGTATTGATAGGGTTTTCCCGAGGCGCCTTCACAGCCCGCTCTGTCGCGGATCTCATCGCCTCCATCGGCCTGCTTACCCCTCAGGGCCATGACCACTTTTATGCTATCTTTGACGACTACGAGAACATGGGCAACCCGGGCCGCCATACCGACTATTACGTTGTTCCCGGTCTGCCTAAGTATGACGGCTCGCATGGCCAAGCCAAGATCGAGTGGGAGAATGCCCGTATGCGCAAGTACAAGCAGGGCTTAAGAGAGGTTGGTTTCTGCGCCCGGCGAAGTCGGAGGCCCTTGCTAAGCTGGCGCAGTTGAGGTACACACGCGATACCTACCACGACGGGGTGACCGAGATCAGGATTAAGGCTCTCGCGGTCTGGGATACAGTGGGCACACTTGGGATACCACCTGCCCCTGTGATCGGTGTTCGCGGGTCCGCCGACCAATAAGTGCCCCTTCCCCTGAGATGCAATGAGAAAAACACTAACATATCCTGCACATGGACCTTCACCAACACCCAAATCTCCAACAAGGTAGAGAACGCATTCCAGGCGCTCGCCCTCGACGAGCCGCGGTACGCGTTTCGCCCGTCGTTGTGGGAGTGCCTCCCCGGAAGTCCCACGAATCTAAAGCAGGTCTGGTTCCCGGGGAATCACGGCAACGTCGGTGGTGGTTGGCACGATCAACAAATATCCGACATCACCCTGGCTTGTAAGTGGCCCAACTCCCTCCCATTCTCCAGACCATAAGCCCCTAACCATTTATCTCTCTTCCCAGGGATGTGCGACCAGCTCTCAACCCTCGGTCTCGAGTTCAACTTCCCCCGCCTAACCACCTTCTTCCACGATACCCTCCGCTTCTCCGCCGCGCACCCCTTTCCCTACGCCCCAGGCGGCAGCGGCAACGGCAGGCCCTTCTTACCCCCCATCCCCAAAATCCCAGTCGACTCCCTCAAACGCTCCCTCAGCAAGCTCCTCCGCGGGAACAAACGCGCCTCTACCGCCTCCCCCAAACCCAAACCCACCACCACCCGGATGAACCTTATCACAACCGATGGCATGTCACAACGGCTACAGAACTGAAAGGTCGGCTTGGAATTGATCATCCTTGACGTCTACGGCAAGAAGTCTTCAATCGACTCGGTCATCGCGGGCATGCAAAAAGTATCCCTAGATCGGCCTCTGACCGAACCACTTTTTGAAGGTAAAAATGTGTCTCCCAGCCAGCGCTTTGGTTATGGTGAGAATTCTCTGACCGGAAACATCATCTCGCACCTTACCGATCACTATGACGAGATCTCCCTCCCGACCAGTGTACTCTGCTCCAAGAAAGTGAGCATAATCCCGTGAGGGTTACCACCAATCTCTCTGCATTGATGTATACACATGTTGCAAATAGATCTCCGAATACCCTCCCGCCTCTTCGGAATGAAGAAGTGTGCTCAGACCTATGCTCCCTTTCAAAATGTGATTAATACTA